AAATATACAAAAATGAAAAAAAAGAAATAGATAGAAAGAGGGAGAAAAAGAGAGAGAAAAAGAGAAAAAATAGATGAGAATGAGTGAATGAGTGGAAAATGTCTGTGTGTTATGATTTTGAATGGAGAACAACAACAATTATGAAATAATTCTCCAAAAATAAATATGAAAAAAAAAAATCGGGCACTTCCGGCAGTTTTAGCCTGAAAGGATTGAAGATTTTTATTTCTGTTTGTGATGATGACGTTGATAGTGATGGCAATGATGACGACGATTCTTGTTTATGATATTGCAGTATTGTTTTAGTTTGGTGTTGTCGGTTTTGCCATTGAACTAGTAGTAATAGCAGCAGTAGCAGTAGTAGTAGCGGCAGTAGTTGTTGTTGTTGCAGTTGGAATTTATAGTGACTGGCTACTGACGACGAGGATTTTGCTGTTGCAGTTGTTTACGATGACAATGTTTGAGCTTGTTAGTGTACATTATGCTCGCATCAACTGTTGCTCCGTTACGTCGTTCGTTTGTTTGTTTGTTGATTGGTTATTTATGTTGTTGTTCACGTTCTTGTAATTGTTGTGATGACGTTGATGATGTCACTGTGCTTGTTGATGTTGCTATAAAGGTTTTACCATTTTTTTAAAATGGTAAAACACTCAGTTTAAAAAAAATAATGATCTTTCTTCTTAGAACATTCAAGTACTAAAAAGTATTTGAATGCAATAACAAGTCCTCTACTTCACTTTGATGACAAATATTAATGTCAGAAACATTGATATCATTAATGTTATCGTGGCTACTGTTGTTGTGGTCTTGCATGTTGTTCATGTCTTTGTAACATTGTTGTTGTCCCGTTAATGTTTTTGATGTCATTTTAATGTTGATGTTATCTTGATGTGTTAATGAATTTTTATCTCTGACGAAAGAAGGGAAAGCGCAGCTTATAAATCAGCATTAAAACCTGCGCAAGGCTCACCATAATATGAAGATAAATTAATTAAACGCAGGCCGGCCAGTGAAATTTAAATCAACAAAGTTTACAAAAAGAACAGACATGCAACACAAACATACAATCAAAACATACAATCCAAACATACAACCAAAATATACTATCCAAACATACAATCAAAACATACAATTTAAACATTCAGTTCACACATACAATCCAAACATACAGTTCACACATACAATCCAAACATACAATCCAAATATACAAAATTATACAAATTTATGCAAACTTTCATACAAACGCAAAAACTTATACATACCGAAAGCGAACGTGCATATAGTAGTACATACGCAAAATGATTTACCACAAACGTGCCAGCAACAAATAACCATACAACTACGTACACAAATACATAAATAATTACATACCTACGTACATACACACACACACATTCATGCAAAAAAACACACATGCACACATACAAACTCACATACACACGCACACATGCTTACATACATTCATCAGGAACATGTGTGTAGGATTTGTATAGCAAATCCTCAACTGATGTATGAGCATTTGTTCAAACGTGAGTCCCTCCATTCAATGTATGCCTGCGTTTATGTGATGTTGCATCCGCGTACGTACACACTATGTACGTACATCCATACAAATATTTAAAATGTACATGCAATATACGTGTACATCCGTCTACATGTGTACACACAGAAATACAAACAACATTAACATACAAACCAATACTCTATATTGTAACTAACATGCATACAGACTTGAAGATGACAAGATAAACACGATTACATACATATATATATTTGTTAATAAATCAACTTTTGTTTCGTTGTGCTTACAAACATATACACAGACATAAAACACACACACACATATATATATGTACTGTACACACGCACGCACACGCACACACACGTACTAAAAAATGTGTGTCAACAGTCAACCTGTCCAACTTAATCCTGCAAGAGCATCAACAACAACACTGGAACAACAACACTCCCACCTACTTACTAGAGACAGATAACATGCACAACGAGATGTCGTGCGACATCTATTTGCGAAACAATGTGTGACACTCATTACGTAACATCTTTTATTTAATACTCGATTTGAAACATTTGTAAATAGCTATCAAAATAACGGAGATAATATAACATTCACATTTCGTGCCTATTATTCGTATACAAAAGACACGCGTTACTTTTTCAGTAACATCCATAACATAACACTAACAACAAATTTAGAACTTATAGAGCAACGTAGCATGTATGCAACGTAGAATCCAAGCAACAAGCTCTGAACAACGCATAAAACAGCATGTTATACATACAAATGGGTCCTAAACATTTACTGCCATTGCTTTGATGCTCTCATGTAGGAACCACACAAGCCCCTCTTGCTTCATAAACTTAATGTAACATTTCTCGAACTATGTAAGCTTCCAACATTACATTAAATACTTGTTACATCAACAGTGGTAGCAGCAGTAACAATGTTAATAACATTAACAAATAAACAGCCATGATTATTACTGTTAATGTCATTAACTTGCCTTTTGTTATTAAATTATATTTTACGGTCATCATCGCATCATTAGAGCAACTGCTATCTGTAGTATCTCGCAAAGATAATCGTCATCACAACCCAAATCAGTATCGTCATTCTCGATTCAGTAATCATCATCATCATCGTCGTCGTCATCACTACCATGGATATATATGAAGTACGTGACGTACCACCTTATCGCTATCTGATTGGTCGATTTGAATTTTAAATGAGGTCTGGTTGGCCAATGGAGCTTGAGATAATTAGGTCAGAGGCTTTATCGTCATCTGCTCGCTTGGTTAACCCCGTAGTAAATATAGGTCAAAATTGTTTTTTGACGTCACATGAATTAAATGACGCTGTCTTGCGCGATATCTGATTAATAATAAATACGTATGAACTTGCGTGTGTGCGTCTGTGTGTGTTTGTGTGCGTGTATGTGTGTTTATGTGCGCGTATGTTTTTGCGCGTGTATGTTTGTGCGCGTGTATGTTTGTGCTGTATATGTGTGTATGTACGCGTAGCATGAAAAGAGAAGATAAAACAAATATGTCAAAATAGTTCTTCAACTTTTACTTAGAATTTGTATATATTAATTAATGACAAAATGTACAGAAAAGTTTACAAAAATATATACACATATGTATACACAGATACACATTCACACACACGCACACATGTACACACACAGGGTCAGGAGTACACAGAGAACTACGCCCTGAGTTACCAGAGGGAAGATGGAGGTCCCTGGTATCTCTACAAGGACTATCATAATAATAAGGTTATATATATATATATATATATATATATATATATGTGTGTGTGTGTGTGTGTATGTGTGTGTGGTGAGTGTGTGTGTATTTTATAACATTTTTTCGTTTCTTTATTACCATTATATCAATCACCATCTTAACAATCATTAACAACGTCACCATCAACTTTGTCATCGTCATCATCATTATAGTCAGCATCAGCAGCCAGCGTCATGATCATCCTTATTACTTCATTGCCTCATTACCTCATCATCTTCATCATTACCATCATCATTGATCCAATGACAGCCATTCAAGCGTAACCGTTTCAACATAACGTTAAAAGTTGACACCAATAAATAATATGTAGGTCATATATGAATCGTCACACGCATACAAATATCAGATATATATCTGCGTATAATATATAATCATATGTATCTGCGTTCTATTATGTATGTATCTGGATATATCATACCTATATTTGTACCTTTCATATAGATGTCTGCTTATATCATATTTACTGTCACAAATATTATTACATTTTAAATGTCGTTTTTGGTTTAGGGTGAACCCGAAAAGTTTGTAAAAGCTTTTCGTTACTCCAGTTTTTGTTGAATAAAATTTATGGGAGAAAAAAACAAAAAGAAATTTAACTTTTTTCTGAAATGTTTTCAACCAACTAAACGTTATCATATTACAATCGGAAGTTCAAATCCGAAGTTTAACTTCAATATACCATTATATTCACGCATTTTTTGCTCATAAATTATGTACACAAATTTTGTGCTGCGTCATACGAACACACAACGCAGGCAGAATTGTAATACAGATGAATACAAACGCATGCAAAACATCCGTCACAGTCCATATAATATAATATACTCTATTGTCCCTTGCGTTTCTCCCTATAAATCATTGAGACTGCCTTGTTTTGTGAGTCTGCGTGCTTCTCTACTCTACATTGCGCCCGACGCTAAACTTCCCAATTTTGGTAATGGAAAAATAAATTTAGACTTTGTAAACTAGAATGTTGTTTTAATCTGGAAGGACGCTGAACGAGTTATGGTTTGCCATGACGACGGGATGCTAAATCAATCATCAACAAGCTGTTAATCAAAAATGTTTTAATGCATTTGTATGGAGAAGATAACAGTGGTACCTTTTCTAAACTAAATTTCCCATTATTTTAAAATATAAAAGATCCATAATTTTAAAATTTAATTTTGTTTAAATGTAGTTGTTTGAGTGTCGTTGACGGGTGCAAATCGAGCGGATTCGTTTTATTGGCATGGTTAGCAATACGTTGGCTGCCAGACTAATGATGATTCAGCAGCGTTCCGGCGCCAACAACAAAAACATTGAACATCAATGATCTACTATATGAATATATACAATTTATACAAGTCTCTGTGTACATTTATTTATAAATGTATTTGTTTGTTTGTTTAGTAATTTTTCTATTTATTTGATTATTTGTTTATTTAATAATTCATTCATTCATACATTCATTTGCTGGTAGCTAAACTTTCAATGTCCTTTCAAAATTTTTTTCGTATACAACATAAATTTCTATTTTTAAATTTTACCACTACGCACATTTCATTTTAAATGAAATGTCATTGAAATATTAACTGAAATTTTATCTAAAACTTTTCAAATATTTCATTTCAGTAATTAAAATTATATAAGAGGCCTGAAAATCACGCAAAAATAAAAACTCCACGTAGAAAATGAAAGGTAACAGCAACACGTACTCAGTAGAGCTGATAGACATCATGCCGCCAGTCATCGGCAGGAGGGTGCGCGTCCACCCCATCAGCCATTCCAAATCGAAAAGGGTCTGTCTCACACTGGAAGTCTACGGATGCGATTGGAAAGGTGAGGCGGTTGTGAAGATGGTGATGAAGGACATTCTCGTAATTTTTTTTTAGAGATTTCAACAACAACAGCAATCTCACACTACTTGCGTTCATGCGAGTGAAGCCACGAGTCAGAAACGTTGCATGGGATGGGCAAGGATTTGCTTGCAAATGAACTCAGCCACTGCGAAACAGAACCATGATGACAATGATGATGATGATGATGATGATGATGATGATGATGACAATGCCTGTGCTTGATTGTGTTTTTAGTTTATGAGCGTTTTTACTTTGTGACGCATTTTGTTCTCAGCATTCCGTTTCTATATTGGCAATCCTCATCAGGTTATTAAATATTGATCTTATTATTTTGGCAACTATTTCATTCATGCCTATCACTGACTGACGTGAATATCATCATTATCTCTCATATCATCATCATCATCATCGTCACACGTTGTTCCTCATCACCACTCTCACACAACAGATGGTTTGGTATCATACAGCATGTACCAAGGTGATAGGAGGAGGTCTGACATGCATTTGTATGACCGCATCTATGATGGGCAGATCATTACGCAATCTCAACACGATGACGACGACGACAACAACATTAACAACTTCAACAGCAACAATTTCATCTCTAAGAAATACGCCAACAGTGACGCCGACAACAAACACAACAGCCCTACGACCAACAGTAGCCACAGCCTAAACTTCATCAACTACATCGACAACAACTTTATAAACGTCAACCAGCACCACGTCTACCTGACGAATGGATTGGGAGCTCTGACGGACGGTGTCATCGGGTCAGCGGGGCTCAAGAGGCAGACCCTTCTAGAGAATTTACGCGACGATGATGAACATCATCACCATCATCATCATGAACTTCTTCTCCATCATCATCATCAGCACCACATTCCTCTACATCATCATAATCATGCTAGCAGGCCGGTACATGAAGATTGGATCGGCTGGAGGAGGAGACGTGTATTTGATAATTATGACGATGGTAGTAGTAGTAATAATAATAACAATAATAATCATAATAATAATCATAATCATAATAATCATAATAAGAAGTATGGTGAGCCGATTGAGATTATTTTTAAATTTGACACGCTGCGAAAGTTTAAATCTCTGTCTGTACACTGCAACTACGTGCCCAAAAAAGAGGTTCCTGCTGTCATCAATCAATCATTTTATTCATTTGTTCACTCATTCATTCGTTCGTTCATACACTTATTTATTTATTTATTAAGTTATTCATTTATTCATTCATACAGTCGTCTGTTCATTCATCCACTCATTTTTCAAATCGTTCATTCATTTTCACTGATACGTCCATTAATTAAATTTCTCAGTTGATGATTCATTCACTTGTTGGATCATTAACTAGTTACTTATTGATCAAAATCCTTTCAAAACATAAACAAGCATCAACAAAAAATTTAAAACTGCATTCAACTGCAACACAAACAAACATATCAACACATGAACGAAAACAAAAGATTGAAATAAGACATGTAAAGACAATAAACAAACAACTTTTAACAAATCCACCATACACCACACACACACACACACACACACACACACTCACACACACTCACACACACACACTCACACGCTCACACACACACAAAGCAAACAAAACGTGAAAACAACAACATCAAAACAGGTGTCATGTTTCTCATTAGCGAAAATATTCTTCAGCTCAGACGGAAAAAATTATAAAAAAACACGCTTCATCGAATATTACAACAACAACGACAACAACAACGACACTGATGATGACGTCAGAAAACGCGTAAAGTGGGCGGAAGTACCCCTGAATGATCACGTGGGCAGTTACTTGAAACTCTGGATGTACCATAAGATGGAGTGGTTGCTCATTAGTGAGGTCCAATTCATTTCAGGTCGGTTGATGATTGGTTGATTGTTGATTGATATCTGGTTGATGATCGGTTAATGGTTTATTGATTGTTGGATCATGATTGGATGATGGACGATTGATGATTTGTTAATGTAGATTGATGATTGGTTAATGATTGGTTAATTGAATTTGATTGGCCAAAGGCTGGTCGTGATATGTTGTTCGATCAAACGTTGATTGGCGATTGAAAAGCTGTTCTTTTTTAATTGGTCCTAATTTAATTGAACAGTTGATACCTGATTGGCTACAATTTTTTCCACTTGGTTGTCTGTTGATTTTTGGATGGCTGAACAATGAGTACTTATTCACTGACAGATCTCGAAATCTTTTTCATAATTTTTTTCCTCCAATAGAAAAAAATAATCTTTCTTTAAGTGGCTTCTGAGACTAATTAATGAGAGTCAGTCAGGCCAGGTAGTCATTAGTCAATTCAGCGCTCCGTTCTTTGATTGATTTTGTACTGGCTAGGTGCACCTGTGAGTGTGTAAGAGGTAAAGAAACAAATGAAATCAATTTGTATATATTTACTGTATATCATGTAAAAAGATTAAATGCTTATTTGAAGAGGTTAATGAATGAACGAACGAACGAACAACTGAATGAACGAACGACTGAATGAACGAACGACTGAATGAACGAACGAACAAAAAAACAAACAATTGTATGAATGAATAAATGAATTAATAGCTGATCGTGTCAAACTTTTTAAATGAAAAATGTTGAAATAAAGAAATTGAAAAATAAAACCAGACCGCGGTGAAAATGATTAAAAGAATTTGTTGATTAATTGCACGGAGGATTAAACAAAACAGAAAAAAACGTAGAGCAACTTTTGAAAAATTGAAAACACCATTTATTTTTCCAATTAATTTTCGTAATTAAATTTTTTTCTAAATAAAAATTAACAACGGTTTTGCATTTTGTTGAAAAATTCAAAGCGTTCAAATTTCAAAATTGATTTGCGTTCATAGGTTTACATAAGTTTACATGTAATTTAGTGATGTAACATTTTACATATATTGATGGATCCTTTGAACAGTTTGGTAGATTAAGAAAATATGAGAATATGCGTGAAAATATGTTTGAATAAATTTTGAAAATAAACCTTAAAAAACATTCTAGGCTTCTATAGTATGAGATTGATTGAATGAAGTTAAAGAAAATTTTTCTTTTGTACGCCGAAAATTATTATTTTTTTCGAATGACGTCACAGATCCTGTCAAATCGAATAATACGTCATCGCCGACGTCATCATCACGTCAACGTAACCAGGGCAACCTTTCCAAAGTTAACTCGGCAACCCGCGAGGCCAGAAAAAATTTATTTGACGGAGCGAGTAATGACGAGAACGCCGTAAGAAAGAACAACAACAACATCAACAACAACAATAACAACATCAACAACAACAACGTCATCAACGATGATTATTATGTCATCAGCGGTGTAGACGACACTAATGACGCTAATGAAGATGGCGACGACGATGCTCGCCATCCCCTCCATAACTCGTCTGTCGATCGTAAAAAAAATCATAAATATGACCGTAAAGCCGGAAATAGAGATGTACCGATAGGCGAGAATAACGATGAGGACAACAACTACGACGATGACGATGACATCGGTGATTCCAATCTAACAAATGATGATAAGATCAGTGGTAAGCTACATAAAATAGTTTATTCGTATGTTTGCGCGCGCGTGTGTGTGTTTTTATGCATATGTGTTCTTGCTTACATATATATATACATTTTACATAGATTTATATTTATTTATTTATTTCATTATTTGTTAGTACTAATAAATATTTTAAAATTTGTTTTTATGCACTACATTCATAGGTTAAACATGCAGGTTCCTTAGTTGCTCAATGCTTATACATAAGCTAGGCATCCACAGCCAACGATTAAACTAACATTTAAACGCGTTTTTTAATTTTACGCACAAAATAGACGTTCAGACTTCATGTGAGCAAAGAAATGTAAACAAATCGGCCTTTTTTATTCCTATAGAGGCACAATACTTACATACTCGGGTATAAACATTTACGTAGGGTACACACACGCAATTACTTATGTATGTGGAATGTACATACATACACGCTTGTTAACATACCACTTAGGCAAGAAAGGAATGCGTATAAGAATGTAACTTGTATTTAGGGCGAATCGATACTCCGAGGTTTTCTTCATGTTCGATCGTCAGGTTATTTATGTTTATGACTTTTATCGGCTCTCTCCTACTGGAATTTCTTATTTCAATTAAAAATACTCCAGAGATTTATCGCTGAAATTTATGGCGCTTATGGTCATCTTCAATGCGTGGTGATATAATATAAAAGTGCTACTCGTATCTGTGATGATTTTCAAATGAAATTAACGTGATTGTTAGTTTTATGTTTTTGGCGACAAAGTTTAAACTTGACTTGTAACTTGTCACGGATATTGAAACCATTATAGCCATTTATTTCGCAAAGTTGCGGCAGAATTTTACGTGCATTTTGCACATTATCCGTTTTCATAGTTGCCTACATTAACAATTCAATTAACAAAATTTTCACCACGTAATAATTTCAGATAAACTTGTCGTCTTGAAAACGGTTCTCCCTATGACGACAGACATGACGTCATCAGTAGCAGACAGGCAGTCGGATCAGACAGACAGCAGTACCAGACTGACCGCCATCGTGGCCGGCCTCATGTGTGGAACTGTCCTCTGTGTCGTCGTCGTTGTCATCGTCTTCATCGTTGGCAGACGGAGAAAACGTTAACAAATTTTTTATTTGAAAATTATTTTTTATGTCGAACAATTTATTTCTTTAGATTGAATAAAACTATTTTCAAACTGTGATAAATCATTCTAAAAATATGTTTTTCATTCTTCAGGAAAAATTTACAAAGAATTTTATTTAATTTTATCACAAGTAAAAAATTTATTTTAACATCATTTTACTACGATAAAATTGACAGACAGCACCCACGGATTACTGAGTCCCTATCAATCCTCACCCCTATCAAACAAGCTGGACCCTCCTGCCAGCAATCCACCGACGCCACCCCTCATAACCCTTCCCAACGAGCTCCCGACAACTCCACCAATATATTCAAATGGATACTCCAGTCCTTCCCCTGTCAAAACTTCAAAAGATCAAACCGCCTCCAAGCCATTTTCTCCGGATAAGTACCCTCCAAATAAATCAATCAACACCCTCCCAAAGCGTCCCACTCGGCAGCAGCAGGATGAGTTGTCCGTCAACGACACTTATGAAGATATTGGTAACTTTAAGACATTCACGCCGATTTTGAAAGCCTCTCGAAACAACAATTTCAACGAGTCTCCCTACAGTTCTTCGCCGTACAGTCGAGGAGAAGCCGATCACTTTGATTCCTCTAGAATGCCTTTGGACACATACTTTAGTCGAAACGACGCAACCTCAACCATTCATAACAATTTCGGAGCGGCAATGTTGCAGGATCGTGGGATCAGCAACTACAACCAGCTGAACGACGGCTACTTCATAAACGACGTCGCCAACAGTAGCAACCCGCACTTTGATCAGTTCTCACGTTACCGTGTCCAGGAGAACGCATTCGATAATTTTGACACAAACACGACGTCGAAGACTGGCCACTTCAGGTCCATTCCAAGTGTAAACGCCAGGACAGGCCCCAACTACACAGTACCAAACCAACATAGGGAGAACAACATGCCACAATATTAATGCCATAATAAACATTTTTTTCCTACCTAACTAAACAACGATATGTGACGTTGGACGATCAATTTCATTAATTTACAAAACTCACATGCTGTTAACAGTTAACCAGCTCTGCTTGAGCAATGCGAAGTGATGCGGATATTAAAGATGTAACTATTTATTGACGTGTGATACGTGTAAATTTTTATATAGAAATATATATATATATATATTTATATAAATATATATAGTGTACATTCAAATATCAGTGCATATTATTTAAATTTTTTTTATAAATTTATCGTCTTGATCAGTTAAATTTGTAAATTTGTTTATTTCGAAAACATAATAAAAGGCATAATATTTCAGCTTTTAGAACTTAAAAAGTAATTTAAAATTGATTTGAAAAATCACATAAATCTATTCAGCACTTTTAACACACACAGACACACACACAAATACACATGCTCTGTATAAAGTTTGAACACAAAAAAACACCATGTAGACATTACACAATTATAATTATAGACAATGATAAATTTGATTTAGAATTAAAACAATTTTAAGTTTTATTTTACATTAAAAGTATAAAAATGATGATTTTTGTTTACATATTGTGTTGGAGCAAACCAAATTTATATTGTGAGTGTGCTTGTCATTGTGATCATGTCTGTATTTATTTCCATCGTTTAAATTTTCGTTGCTTTATAAAATGAAGATTGTTCTTATTTACTGAGACGTTTACGATTCATTTTTCAATTTACATTATAATTTATATATCTATAATAATCTGGCTTATGAATAATGGTAACTCATGGTACTTAATGACACTGTAATTAATTACTCCTATTTAATTTTAAACACGAATTAAATTTTATTCCATACAACGAATGATCATATTTAAAGATCTCTATATATCCATTGTACATATGCACGCGCACACACACACAAACATACATAATGTATTTATGAAAATACAATATATTTTTATTGCTTCTAGCTTGCAATACATTCTAAAAATTTTAAAACACCACACTTTATTTATGTATATATGTTATACTTACATAATATATATATATATATATATATATATATATATATATACATACATATACATATATATATAATTACACCAACATATTTATTTCGAATATTTACACGTGTTAATAAAAGATTAAAACAGTTAATCTATTCATTCTGCAAATCCAAAACACTCTAATCAAAGAATTTAATAATAAACTAGGAAAAAATCTAACAACATATACACTATAATAAAAAAAACTCAACAGAGAAAATTGATGATGAAAATTTATATACAACGTTGCATACGTAAAAACCCACTATGATGTGACACATTTACACCACATGCAAATAAAAAATATATACAGATAAATTAAGAACATTATCAGCTTAGCACACGATGTTGCTAATGTATATATGTTTGTACGTACCAAAATAATCATAATCTGAGTAGTTCTACCAGCATATACATGCTTATTTCTAATTAAATCAAATTAAAACACAGAAGATTTAATAAATCAAAATTGCAGAGCAGTTAACTATCTCTTGACAGTAATTTGTAATTCATGGACTAAAACTAATGCCAAGTTAACAACATTTTATTGTGATGAAACACTCATTTAATAACATTATCTCAAACCTATTCATTGAGTTTACATTTACACATTTACAGAATAAAAGTTTTTTCATCATTGTTCACAAGCTTAATGATGAACCATGAAATAATTAACTGATATAGTTTTCCATCATTTTTTGGTGGCTTGCATGTAGACCCCTCCCATGACGGCAAGTACCGTGAAACCCTGAGCCATTACTCTCATTCTCATCATCCTCTGAGATAACTTCGAGTCACCTTTCTTTAAGGAATATAAGCCAATAGTCAGAGCCCCAATTGTTGCAAGAAGACCTATTTTGAAAAGAAATGTTTAAAGAAATTCTTATAATTCTAATATAATAGCAAAATTTTCACATGTTTATAATATGAACTATAATTATAACGACTATTGAAAAAAAATAACTATGTTTATACTTTATAGTACAGTCTAAAATTAAAAGGCATTATTAATTACTTATATTAAAGATTTTAAGAACTAAAATGTTTGAAAGTTGTGTAACATATAAAACTAAAAGGTATTCATATCTATACGTATACATACTGCTACTACTAACTGAATTACACAATTACAACTGGATTAATCATATTTTAAAATCATGTCATAGTAATATGTAGCACTATCAGTATTGTTTTTATTTGAATTTCAGAAAAGTTTTATTATAGAAATAAATGAATCGCAGAATAAAATAATAATAATTTTTTTAAATTTATAAAAAATTATATATGAGATAAAAAGGAAAAGAAAACTAAGTGAAAGGAAAGGTCACCAACCAAAAGGAACCAAAGGATTTTCGCAAGTTTTTCTGGAAATTTTATCACTGAAAGTTTCGTAATCTTGACTGTACGGAATAAATGGTGGCAAGCTCAAAAATTCTTCTTTGCTTCCTTCTGCTGCTTTGTCTGACATTTTTTTTTAACTTTTTTAAAACTTTTCGAAACAAAGAAAACGATAATACAAAATCTAAAATGTAACTCAACTTGTAATCCAAAGAATACTAAAAACATTTATTTATCTTTTGTATCTTTAAAGTGAACATATAATTTTTTGCGTACTGCAGAGTTAGACAAAATTTTTGAATTTAGTATTTGATCTGTGTCGAACAGAATGTAATAATGATGTAAGTGAGTTTCAACTGAATGAAATTGTAGGTTCTTTCTTGAATGACATGCGATATGTTTCTTATTTTTTAGCATTTTTAAGAAACCATCTACTAAAAAAGTAAAAATACAAAAATCGCCTGTTGTTTTTCATTAAATTTAAAATTTAAATTTTAAATTGAAAAGGATTGAATATTGTATTGTTACTATTGTGTTAATTTTCATGAGAATGAATCGTGGTTTGGGTAAATTGACCCCAAAGGGCAGTGCCCTGTTGTTGTGTGACATGCAGGAAAAGTTTCGCAACATAATTTCATATGGACCTGCGGTCATCAAGGTCGTTCAAAGGATGCTGACCTTTGCAGATCAATTGGAGATTCCCGTCCTTGTCACTGAACATTACCCCAAAGGTTACCATTTATGATTTAATTAAATGTTAGTTCAGTTTCCGATTTGAATTTCAAATAATGAATTAAGTAAAACTGTAAAATCAACATAAAGTTATGGAACCCTAGTAAAAAACAAATAAAAAATTAACTGACACATAAATCACATTATAAATGTTTTTTAATTTCTACTTTATTTTTCAAAATAGAAAGTTTTTTTAAATAAGTTTTTGTTTAGAGTGTATTCAATTTTCCTCATTCACACTTTCTACAGGATTAGGTAACACCATGAAAGAGCTTAATGTCAGCAAGTACAAAATATTCACCAAGACTCAATTCTCAATGTTGGTTCCTGATGTTGAGAAGCATTTACAATCATTGTCAGGTGCATATTGCTGTTTATAATTCTTAAAATATTACTATGGTCTATAATAACTTCATGAACATCATCCTCAATGTCAGTGAAATCAGCAGTTATCTGTGGAATTGAGTCACATGCATGCGTGTTACAGACAGTTCTTGATCTGATTGAGAAACGGTATGAGGTGCATGTTGTTGTGGATGCTGTTACATCTCGATCCATGGTTGACAGGTATGCTTTTTTCATGTCTTTTTTTTCATTACAACATGTTTATTTAAAAATTCATTTGTCTGTTTGTGTGGACATTTTTATTTTTTCTTTACTTTAAAATTTATTTTAATATTTCAGTGAGTGTCAACTTTTTGGTACTCATATACCAAGTAAAGTTAAGTAGCAAATGTTTTGTTGGAGATATTAGTTTAATCATAACATTAAGATTCATTTATAGATAGATGGTTATTGGTTTAATCAAATAATTGATTGAACAGGATGTACTCTCTGAAGAGAATGAGCGAAGCAGGAGCATTCCTGACGACGAGCGAGAGCCTCTTCTTCCTGTGGTGTCGTGACGCCCTCCATCCCAAATTCAAGGTCTTGCAAAAGGTCATCATGACTCCTGCCCCTGATAGCGGATTGCTTTCTAGACTGCCTTATTTTCCTCAGAAAGAATGATGTGTTGTTATGGTTTCATGTTTCGTAATGGGATGTGTTGTGATGTTTTGGGATGATGGGATGTGATTAGTTTGATTTTTTTTGATGGATTGGTAATTTTGGTTGGTGGTTGCAAAGCGCTGAACTTTGTTCATTTTTTGTTTAATTATGTAATAGTGTATTATTCTGATTAATTTTTTCTAATACGGTGTTTTTTATCCTAATCCAATTTTACGTTTTTAGTTTTTATGAACATTAAAAAGTATGTATAGACTCTATGTATATAATGCGTCCATTTACAAATTCTTTCATTTGAACTCTGCGAAAATTTTATCTCATCTTGTTATCAAAAACTTCAAAAAACTTTGGAATTAAATTGAAAATAAACATATTTTTTTTTGTTGGGAGCCTTTGCTCAACTTAAAACGCAGCAGACAGAACATTTGTTTGTACAGCTGTGCTTGCACTTCATTAAGGCATAATTGTTCCGACGAATTTTCATAACCTCGGTTTGTGTGAAAGGCGTTTTATCAATTTATGGCCAATATATTATTTTTTTATGTTATTATATTTTTTACACACACACACGAAAATATTTATAAATATATATATAGTATACTTTCATTTATTTCAATTTTTAGCGTAATGTTTAGTAATGAAATTTCATATAACAATTATTAGTTATCTTTGGGAATTCTTAAGTGCCGAGTAGGCCATGTTTGTTAAAGTATTTTCGCCGTAATTTGTATCCAATTAATCTGAAAAAGCTATTCATCTATTAATATAAACATTTAAAAAAATAGTTGAGACGTATTTGGTATTGTGATTTTCTGAGTTTATTTAGTATAGTTTAAAATCAATTTTCGTTAAAACTCCTCCGACGGATTTACTCCAGTATGATTCTTTTTTCTGCCCATAAAGGCCCCCTCCCAAACTTTGACTAACAATGAATGGTATTGGACAACAACAGGGGAATCGCTTTGCGGCTCCTGGGACTTCGGGACCTCCCACGTCGGCTAGCCAGTTAGTTTTTGTAATTGACGTTTTTGATTTTTTGTTCTTTTCTTTTGCGCTTTGAAAATTTTGTGATTAGTTATTTTTCCTATTTTGTAATGAAAATAATCATTTAACTAATTAAAATTATTAGGTATTCGATGTTTGTGACATCAGGGTTCCATGGAGGAAATGTGCAAGAAAATTTTAGTTAGTTTTAATTTTTGTTTACCAAATCAGTTTGTTTATTAAATACAACTTTTGTTCTGGCTTTTTTATTACTTATTTCAAAAGTAAATCAATCTTTTTGTTTGTCTTGTCTTCTTTAGATCACAGTCACACAAAGCCCAATGGCAGACCGACTTTCATTATGCCTCAGGTTTGTTAATTTACTTTAAATAATTAAATATAAATTGTTATAAAACTTGTAAGTCATATTTTTTTAAAAATGGCTGTCATCTGACAAATCTTTCTGTTTGTTTAATCCAATCTAAGATATTAAAAAATTAGTAAATGATTTAATAATTTAAAAATTAAATTACAATTAGAGATTTTTGTTTTAGTTTAGTTTGGTTGGTTGTGTTCGTTGTAATCAAACAACATACTACTTGGTTAACTTTAAAAACTGGTTATGTCCATTTTATCATTTATGTGCATTACAATGGGATAAGTATAACAGGATCTTTTAATTCACTTCAGTATAAATTAGCTAAATAATAATATTGTAAGGGATATACCTGTTTGTCACAAAAGGTTTATATTGATTGTGAAATTAATTGTGTAATTTCAACCAAGTTATATAAAAGTATATTTATTAAATTTATATATGAAAGTCATAGTTACTCACAAAAATATCTTTGCAGTCATAAAACATTTAATTCATCTTTGTTGATTTAAATAATTTAAATAGAACTTAGATGAAAAATTATTTTCAAGAATTTGAGTCAGTTATGGTCTTGTTTGCAAAAAAGGGCAGTTTATAATGCTGCATTAAATAGTATATCAACTTCAAACAGCTGTATGGATATTTATTTAATTTTAAACAGATATCATCAAATGCCTCTGGCAATCGATTTATGACGCCGACAGCACCTCAAATTATCAGAAATGGAGGACCATACCCGAGCAATGCTATAATCCAACAGAGATTGGTACAAACCTCTCAAACAATAGTGCCTAATCAGGGCTCAGAAATGAATGTGTCTGGCATGTTTGGCAGTCAGCAAATCCCAGACACTACAGCAATGGAATTTAACACATCATCATTGTATTACCAATCATTAGCACAGAATGCTCAGATGTTCCAGCAACCTGAGGTGATTTAGTTTTTTTATTGACTACTAGTTCAGTTATTAAATCTCTTTTTTTACTCAAATTGTTTAGTCTTTAGACTTTTTTTTATATAAATTCATTTGAATTTTTTTAGACTTTGTCGATGGTGAGATCTTCAATGGTGGCTCCGGTTTATCGGTTTCCTCCCGTTAGTATTTTTTGTGACAAAATGTTTTTTGAGAGTCTGTAGATTAAAATGTTCAATCTGTTTTTGTTATCTGTTTTTGAATAAATAGCTTTCTGCTTAATTTTCTATTTAAATTCTTTTAATATATGTTGGCATCCTGTCTGGAATTGGCATGTTGCAAATCCTTTCGTATGATAAACTTTTATTTTTAAAATAACCTCTCAAGTTAATTCAGTCAGTGTACTTTGATGTTTTTCCAGCAAGGTCAATTTTATATAGTGCAAAGTCCTGGCTCTGTCATTCCACCTACAGTGATGATGGTGAATCCACAGCAGCAGGCACTACAGCAACAAATGCAGTTACAACAGCAGCAGCAGCAACAACAGCATCAACAACAACTACAGCAACAATTTGACTCGAGACATGATGCATCAACGCCTCAATCTCAGCATTCAAGTTTCATGCCTCCTCATTTCATGCCAGAACATGGACATTTCTACTACCATCAACCTCAAACTCATTTGGGAAATCAACAAGCAACTAGTACTCAACTTGCTCACCAACAACAGCAACAACACCAGCAGCAGCAAGTTCAAAATCAACACATTCAGCACATGCAACAGCAATACATACATCAGCAACACCAACAGCAACAACATTTACAACAGCAACAGGCTCAACAACTCATGCCTGTATCCCAACAACAACAGCAACACATCCAAATTTCACAACAACTTTCACAACAACTTTCACAACAACAACATTTGCAACAACCACATGCACCAGAAGCTCTTCAAGCCCAGTACACTTTTAGGCAAAGTGTAACTCCAACTTGTGTCATGTCAACAGCACCAATCGATGCCATCAATCACAGGTTTCCCAGGCCTGCATCCAGGAATCCAATCAGTCAGTCACCATTCATTTTATTTGCAATTTATAATATTTTTTTTTTTTCTAAAAATTTCATTGCCTGCTAATGATTTTATTAACTTTGACATTTGGAAAATTGTTATTAGCCATGACATTCAGGAAATTTTATTAACTTTGATATTTATTTCTGTTTCAAAAGTTACAGTTTATTCATGAATTTATCAAGTTTTTTTTTCTAAATATTCTCATTGAGACAATTACTGTTTGTCTACCAGTGTACCACGAGGAATATGTTGCCATAACCAGCCAAGCTCAGCAGCAGTCAACACTGGGTAGGAAGGAGAAGAAGACCATCAAGATCATCAACCCTAACACTAATCAAGAGATTAATCTTAGGGCTCCTTCTTTGGCTGTATGTTTCTTTGGTTGCATGTTTCTGTGTATGCCTGGCTGGATGATGGTGTGATGTTGATGTGTTTGTACTTGTCTGCGATGATGAAAAATTGGTGTAAAGATGAAATGACAACTTGAAGAGGTAATGTGAGATAGTGGTGTAATATAATTTGGGCGTTTGAGGCAGATTAATTATGACAATGGCTATGAGATGAGGATGATGATAATAGCAATAATAATGCAATGTTAGATTTTTGTGGTCATTGTATTAAAAATTGCCTTGCTGATTTGTGGCTTTGCAAATAATCATTGCTGTGTTCTCATTATTTACAACAAATATTGGGTATTTGTAATACTGTGTAATTGTTGCTTTGTTCCATGTAACTAACTAATTAACAAAGTTACTATTTATTATAGTGGTATGTTGTCATTATAAAGACACCATTCAGATGTTAATTTTAGTAAATTTGATTGGTCTGTTGTTGTAACAGAACTATTAGAAAATTATGTAGATGATAACAATTCTGATAATGACTAAGATTAGGATCATGATTGCCATGGTTACTAGATGATTAAGACATTGGACATTCCATTATAATAAATGCAAACCAGAGTTATTTTTATCAAATTGCTCTAAAAATTATTTTTCTCTTAAGGTTAGAGTTAAATATCTAAATGTATCACATTTTTATCTGAAGGTGAAAGTTACATTTTTACATATTTCACTTTTTAAGATTTTAAATTTTAACTGGTTTAAAGTTTGTTGAGATTAACCTTTTAAACTCTCTACTCAATCTAATCAGTAACTGTAGAATCAGTGGTGATGTAAATTTAGATTTTTGAATCATGAAGCATGTCAATGTTTTTTATGTGAAGTGTTTCATATATAAAGTGAGTAGGTAATATGTCTACTAAATAATATTTCAAATGTGAATATTATAATAAAGTTTAAAATTTTTGCGTTTAGGTTGAAGAATTCCAAACCAAAGTGCACAAAAAAGTTTATCAAGCTGACGAGCAGACTAACACTCAACAACAACATGCAACCACGACGACATCACAGCAACAGCAGCAAAATCTGCAACAGCCTACGTACACTTTTCAACAACAGCAATACCACACACCAGTCACGTTGACTCAAGTGCAACAAAAGGACACACCTTCCACAATGGCATCCCTCTTAACAATGACCCCTACTATGTATGGTCTGACGCCAACAACTACATTTGCACGTGGTATTGTTGCTAGGAATGAGCTTGAGACACAGGATAGCACGTTAGCAACAACAACGACGACGATGACAACCGCACGAACATTGAATGCCATGTCTACTGCAGTGGATGTTCCACCTGATGTGAATGCTTCAACAGCCACTTTATTGAATAGTTAGTTGAAAGTTTTTTAACAAAATTATCATCTCTCTAGTATTATCACTGTCATCATTTATTATACTGAAAATATGGTATATCATCATGATTGTATGACTGCTTAATGGCATATATGTATTATATCTTACATTGTGCAGTTTCACTAAATTTTTTCTCACCAGCTTACTTTTTCTGTCTGTTACCTTCCTTCTAACTTGTTGGCCATAAATTTATCAGTTTATTTCTGCTTACAATTTCTATCTCCATCCAGAAAATTAAATCTTACCATTGTTATTTGGATACATAGAGCATCTGT